ACCAAGTAGGTAAAAGACCTCTACAGGGAGAACTATGAAACACTGTAGAAGGAAATAGCAGAGGTTGTAAACTGATGGAAATCAGTACCATGCTCGTGGATCAGCAGACTCAACATCATTAAATTGTCTATACTACGCAAACTAATCTACAGATTCAATGCAATAACTATTAAAATCCCGTCAGCATTCTTCACAGATATAGAAAAAATAATTTTATGCTTCGTATGGAACCAAAGAAGACCCCAAATATCAAAAGTAATTCTAGGCAACAAAAACAAAATGGGAGGCATTAATATGTCAGATATCAAACTATACTACAAAGTTCTAGTAATTAAATCAATCTGGTATTGGCACAAAAATAGGAATATTGACCAGTGGAACAGATCTGAGAACTCTGATATAAAACCATCCTCATATAGCCATCTAATCTTTGACAAAGCAGACAAAAACATACGCTGGGGAAAATAATCCCTTTTCAATAAATGGTGCTGGGAAAACTGGATAGCCACTTGTAGAAGGCTAAAACAGGACCCACACCTCTCACAAAAATCAACTCATTATGGATAACAGATTTAAATGTAAGGTATGAAACTATTAGAACTCTAGAGGAAAATGTTGGAAACACTCTCCTAGACATTGGCCTGGGCAAAGAGTTTATGAAGAAGTCCCCAAAGGCAATCACAGCAGCAACAAAAGTAAATAAATGGAACAAGTTCAAACTAAAAAACTTGTGCACAGCCAAAGAAATAGTCATGAAAGTAAGCAGAGAACCACAGAATGGGAGAAAATTTTTCCATCCTATGCATCTGATAAGGGACTGATAATTAAAATATGCTTAGAACTCACAAAAATCAGCAAGAAAAATCAAATAACCCTATTAAAAAGTGGGCAAAGGACTTGAACATAAAACTTTTCTAAAGAAGACAGAAGAATGGCCAACAAACATATGAAAAAATGCTCAACATCTCTAATCATCAGGGAAATGCAAATCAAAACCACAACGATATATCACTTAACACCAGCGAGAATAGCCTTTATCAAAAAGTCTCCAAACAGTACATGCTGGCGTGGATGCGGAGAGAGAAGAACACTCCTACACTGCTGGTGGGACTCCAAACTAGTTCAACCTCTGTGGAAAGCAATATGGAGATACCTTAAAGCGATACAAGTGGATCTACCATTTGATCCAGCAATCCCATTGCTGGGCATCTACCCAAAACATCCAATGACACTGTACAAAAAATGCACCTGCACCCCAATATTTATAGCAGCACAATTCATAATCACAAAGCTGTGGAAACAGCCCAAATGCCCATCAATCCAATAATGGATTAATAAAATGTGGTATATGTATACCATGGAGTACCATTGAGTTCTAAGAAACAATGGTGATATAGCACATCTCATATTTTCCTCGTCAGAGCTGGAACCCGTACTACTAAGTGAAGTATCCCAAGAATGGAAAAACAAACACCACATGTGCTCACCAGCAAACTGGTATTAACTGAGCAGCACATAGATGGACACATGGGTACTACAGTATTAGGGTATTGGGGAGGGGGAGGGGGGCGGATATATACATACATAATGAGTGAGATGTGCACCATCTGGGGGATGGTCACGCTGGAAACTCAGACTTGTGGGGGGAGGGGGGAAAGTGCATTTTTTGAAACCTTAAAATTTATACCCCCATAATATGCTGAAATAAAAAAAAAACCACAATGAGATACCACCTTACTGTAGCCAGAATGGCCATTGTCAAAAATTCAAAAATAGTAGATATTATTGCAGATATGGGGTAAAGGGAGCACTTATGCATTGTTGGTGTAAATGTAAATTAGTACGGACTCTATGGAAAACCATTTGGAGACTCCTTCAATAACTAAAAGATCTACCATTTGATGCAGAAATTCCACTACTATGTATCTAGTCAAAGGAAAAAAAAAGTCACTATATCCAAAAAAGTACCTGTACTTATATGTTTCCCACAGCACAATTCACAATTGCAGAGAAGGAACTAACCTAAGTGCCCACCAACAAATCAATGGATAAAGAAAATGTAATATATATATTATGGAATACCCCTCATGCCATGAAACAGAATGAAATGATGTATTTTGTGGCAACTTCAATAGAACTGGAGGCCACGATCCTGTGAAGTAAGTCAGGAATGGAAAAATCAAATGCTGCATGTCTCACTTATATAATAAGTGTGAGCTAAGCTGTAGGTACATACAATTGTACAGAATAGAATAATAGACATTGGGGACTTGAAGGTGAGAGGGTTGGAGGACAGCGAAATATGAAAGATTATTATACCTATTGAATACAGTGTACACTATTCAGTTGATGGGTACATTAAAAGCCCAGGCCTTTTAACTATACAGTATATTCATGCAACAAAACTGTACTTGTACTCTTTAAGTAATCTAAATAAAATAAAAATAATTGGAGATATAGTTGATACTTTTAATGTAGCTCCAAGATCTTGCATATCCTTTCCATTTTTGGAAACTAGCAAATGTGATGCAGGCTGATAATAATTATGACATACCAACTCAGGAGGATGTAAAGGAAGCTGTAGACTTACATAAGTAACAAGGAAGTTGAGGCTGCCTATGGTTTAGGCTGTGGTCTAGTGAGGGTGTTCTTGGTTCAGATCAGGCTTCCCAGGTTTGCATGTATTTGTGTTCTATATCGTAAGGCAGCATTCAAGCCTCTCAGAGATCAAGATAGATTATATACATCCATTCTCCCTAGCTTGTCCTGCTTTTTTAGTTATGTTAGCCTTACAGGGTCCACTTGTTGTGTATGTGTCTCACAAAGTGTTCCTGAGAGTTGTGGACATCAGTGCATGGGAGCCACCCCATCCTTTTGTCTAGGACTGAGCTTGTGCACTTTGAGCATTGTAAAAGGATCCAAGGGTCTGAAACAGGCTTGGGGAAACATTGGTCCTCTCTGTGTAGCTAACCTCTTTGTCTTCTGTGAACTTGATGCTGGGGGCACATAGTATATCAGAATCCATCTGTATTTATATATACTCATTTATATATACAATCATGGGAAGAAAAGGTAACATGAGTTATTTTTTGCAAAAGAATTCACTGACACCTGTATTTCCCAGCTTGGGGCTTCAAGATGCTAGAGCTATGCTGGGAATTCTTCAAGACAGTCTTCCTCAGCCCTACTGATAAACCAGTGTACTGTACAGTGTGAAGAGTTAGGATTCAGAATGCGGGGTGGCCAAAGACAGATCCTTCACAGGTAACCTGCAACTGAGAAGTGAGGCATATCAGGCAATTCAGTAGAATGGGAATGGTTTAACTGAACTACATAATGTTAAAAAAATAATGAGCATTTCTGACTCTATCAAGTTAATTGAAAGACCAGATACAAGAAGGGAAGAGGGAGAATTGGCCAGAAGATGACATCTGTCAGGACAGAGATCACAGAGGACTTCCTCAGACAAACTCAATAGACCACATGCCCCGGCAGTATATCTATTCTCAGAGGAGGCTCAGGGCAGTGTCAAGAGGTGGAAGGGCTGAAGAGACCACCCTGAGAAATTTAGCAGATCTTACATTCCGTAGGCCCATGTATCATTTCATCCATCCCTGTTTTCTTTTTTTACACTTATGAAATATTTGACATTCAAAAAGATACAAAAATAATATAATGAGCACCCATGTACATACCATCCAACTTAAGAAATAATTCATTACTGGTAGAGTTTTCTTCCCCTCATTCTCTTCTTCTTCCCTTCCTTTCCCTTCCTTCTTTCCTCTTCCAGTTTTTAATTCTGTACTCTCTTGAATTTGGCATATATCATTGTTATATATTTCCTTATAATTTTCATACATATGTATGTATCCCTAAACATTATGTGGCATTGCAGAATAGATATAGATAAGATAAAACTATATACAAAGTAAACCAGGTGGAATGATGAGCATGGGATTTAAAATGGAATATGCCTTGAGGTCGTAGCTTTTGGATTATGTGGCAAGTTCACCTACACTTACTACATTATTAAAAGTAAATACATGAATAAATAGAGAAATAAAAGCACCACACATGGACTAATGATGAATGTCTCATGGACTAGAGTTAGTATTAATCAAATTATGATGGATTATGAGGAAGAAAACACTACTGGTAATGAATTATTTCTTAAGTTGGATGATATGTACATGGGTGCTCATTATATTATTTTTGTATCTTTTTGAATGCGAAATATTTCGTAAGTGTAAAAAAAGAGAGCAAAAAACAGTTAGAGATAGGCAACATACTGTTTGTGTCCATCTACAACTTTTGTTTTTCTTGCGCAATAAGATTTGTGATATTCATTCTATGTCTATGTGAACCTCACTGGGGTGGGGAACCTGTGGCCTTAAAGCCACATATGGCTTTTCTAGGTCCTTAAGTACAGCCTTTTGACTGAATCCAAATTTAAAGAACAAATCCTTTTATTAAAAGAGGTGCAGCAGAGAAAGGTGAAGCTTTTCTTGTGTCTTTTGGTGCTTAAAAAGGAACAATCTTGAAATCAGAAGGCTGCAGGTCCTCCCCCCCCCCCCGTGTGATGTTCAGTTCTCATTGTTCTGCTTGGATTCCTGAACACACTCTAGGTAATCAGTCAGCTTATTTAATGCTTCTGGTAGCCTTGCCTATGTTTTGGAAGAGGAAAAGCCCCTGCTAGCAGTACTTGTGTGTCTTACTACTTCTTACCTCACTTCAGCAATCTTGCAAACAAATTTAAGGATTGATGCTAGGGTCTGAGATGGTCTTTGGAGGTGGTACAGAGGCATTCTATAAGGGTATCTAGTTAGCCAAACTGTCAATATAAGCCTGCTAAAAATCTGCCCTAATTAAGACCAAACCAACACCCTCTGGTACTCCAAAACAATGACAGTATTAGTGTCCTACTGTACCCGTATGTGTCAACTCTCCTGGCACCCACTATGCACATATCTTCAATAAAAAATCTTTTCCTTGCTACCTAGGACCTAATTCGGAGGGACATACTGTACTACAAAGGCCGCATTGACATGGATAAATATGAGGTGGTTGACATTGAAGATGGCAGAGATGATGACTTCAATGTCAGCATGAAGAATGCCTTCAAGCTTCACAACAAGGAAACCGAGGAGATACATCTGTTCTTTGCCAAGAAGCTGGAGGAGAAAATACGTTGGCTTAGGGCATTCAGAGAAGAGAGGAAAATGGTACAGGAAGATGAAAAAATTGGTAAGTGACCTGAGAGAAGAAAGAAGAATATGACTATGAAGAACAAAGAGGGTTTGAATTGGTTTCCATTTTTCTGGAGTCAGAGGGAAAATCTCTGTTGCAAACTGACCTAAGCTACTTTGGTAGTGTTGATTACTAAGTTCTTTTTGGTAAATACCAATATCTTCCATCATCCAGGGACAGATAGGAACTGAACTATAGGTTGTCTTCCACTACAGTCTTATTACCAGATAAGAATATTATACTGAGAGCCAACCTCAGGCTTGATTCTCCCAAACATGCCAATGAAAATTTATTTCCCGTCAGAATCAAATTGCTTTCAGCACATAGGCACTGCATTGGTACATGAAATGGAGTGGTATAGAAATGCTGCTGGCCTACACCATTTGTATACCACTCCATTTCTTTAATCTTGCATCAGATGGCTCCTTTGTGGGTAGCACCTTAATACTTTAAAATAAAGGTATATTATAAACAGAAAAAAAAAGAAATGGTGCTGGCTATTTCTCCTAATTTCAGGCAGCATCAGCCACTGTTACTTTAAAAGAATGGTCGTAGTGTTCAGACCTTGGATCAATTAGAAGACCCCTGCCATTCCTGTTGACTCTAACATGATGTCTCCCACACAATGCCCTAATAACTCTAAGAATCTGCTTCTAATAGAAGAGCTTACAGAAATTATTTTCTGACAGGCTTATGTTCATCTTTAAAGAGAAATTGAGGTTTGGGGTTTCTTTTGGTCTGATAATAACAATAAATCACTTCCATTGTAGGAAATTTTAGGAAAAAATATACAAGAAAAAAGTAAAAATCACACATGAACACATGTGATAAATTTTGTAAACATTTTCATATATTTCTTTCCAGTCTTTTTTTTTTTCATGTGTCTAAATCGAAAAGCCAGGTTGGCTAAATCTTTCTTTCTCTCTCTTCCCACACCTGCCTCTCTAGATATAATTTTGTATCCTTATTTTTTACTCATAAATATATAATTAGCATTTCTACAAAATATTTAATATTTTTATCATTTTATGGGTATAATATGGATTTACCATAATTATATTTTTTAATTATAAAATTAATGCATGGCCATTATAACCATTTAAACACATATGGAAATGTATAAAGAAAATTTAGCATTCTTTCCCCTTCTCTGTCACTCCTGTGCTATATGAGTAACCAATATTAACACTTTGGTGTGATTCTTTCCATATTTATTCCATGGTTATATAAACATATACATAAGACTTTTTATTTATAAAAGTTACACTATACATATTACTCTGTAATTTGATTTTTTAAAAATTATTTTTGTAGATTTAGGGGGTACAAATGGTTTTTTGTTACATGGATGAATTGTATAGTGGAGAAATCTAGGCTTTTAGTATACCTATCACCTAAATAGTGTATGTTGTGTACCCAGTTGTAACTTGCTGTTTTTAATACATTGACTGCTACACTAGGAAAAAAAATGTCCCTGGGGCCACAGTGTTTTATTAAAGCAAAATGATCCTTTCTAATTTATTATTTTTTATTGTTTTCTGTGAGTTATACTCAAAGAAGTCCACATATTTAGAATTAAGTTGTCAATATTAATTTTAACAACGAGAACATCAAGTAAGATTTTCACTAACCAACTGCAAGGTTTTGCTTCATGAGGCCCCGGACTCAAAACTAGCCTGAGTTAAATACAACTCACATGGCAGTCAATGTGAGTTGTATGTTGCAATTGCAGTCATCCCTTGGTATCCATGGGTGATTGGTTCCAGGATCCCCGCAGATGCCCAAATATATGGATGTTCTTATTTCTTATATAAAATGGTGTAGTATTTGCGTATAACCCATGCACATCTTCTTGTATGCTTTAACACATTAATTGCCATGTGAATTGTATTTAATTCATGCTAGTTTTGAGCCCAGGGCCTCATGAAACATATACACATCTCTTCACTTCAGGAGCTCTGAGAACAATTTTTCAAATTGCATATAACTTAGGCACAGAAAACAATAATAAATAACAATTTTTTTAGTAAATTAGAAAGGATAATTTTATTTTTGAAGTTTTTATTCTATTTTTGTGATAAAACGCTGTGGCCCCAAGGAAATTTTTTTTTTTTCTAGTGTGGCAGTTAATGTGTTAAATCATCTCTAGATTACTTATAATACCTAATACAATGAAAATGCTAAGTAAATAGTTATACTGCATTGTTTAGAGAATAATGACAAGACAAAAAGTTCATATACGTTTAGTATGGATGCAACCAACTATTTTTTTTCTTTGAATATTTTCTGTCCTTAGTTGGTTGAATCTATGGATATGGAACTCATGGATACAGAGGACTGACTATATTTTCCTTTTGCTAGAATTTATTTTGTTTCCATTCTTTATTCCCCACTACAGATATTGCTGTAATAAATATCCATGAATATATCTTATTGTTACATAATGGTGCTTTTATTCCTGTAGGATAGACACCCTAAAGTGGAATGACTCGATGTGAGGATATGAACAGTTTTAATTTTAATACATACTTCCATATTAAATTCTACAAAAGTTGTAGAATCTACATTTCCAGCATAATTTTATGGGTACCCATCTTGCTGTACCCTTATCAGCACTGGATAGTATCTACTTGTTTCATTTTTTTGTTTCTCAACTAATAAGATTGATCTTGTTTTTTCATATTCTTGCTGGTTATTTGCATTCATTCTTTTGTGAATTGCCTTTATATACCCTTTACTCATTTTTTGTTTTTGTTTTTCTTTTAAAATAAATTTGTAAGGACTCTATATTGAGGGTATTAACACTTTGGCAGTCATGAATTTTACATGTTTTCACCGGTCTATTATTTATCTTTTGAGCTTAATTATGGTGCTTAATTCTACAAATATTTTTTTACTTTGACATATGTATCATTATATATAGCTCCTAAGTTTATCTTGCTTAAAAAGGTCTCTCCCTTAAAAAGATCTCTCCCTACCAACACTATAAAATTTTCTAATTAAATTTTTTTGGTTTATTTTTAGAAGTATAATCCATCTGGAATCTACATTTTATATATGGTTTAAGGAAAGGGTCCTATTTTGTTTTTTTCCATCCAGGTGGATAGCCATTTGCACCAGTCTCATTTTTTAAATAAATCATTTATTTCCTATACAGTGGAAATGACATTTTTCTCATATAGTAACTCTGTGTATATACTTGGATTTGTCTTTACACTTTCTTTTCTTTTCCACTATTCTGTATCCACTTCTTGTATCAAGACAGTACTATTTTAATTATAATAGATTAGTAGAAAGTTTTAATGCATGGTAACATCGATTCTCATCCACTCATATTATTGTTTCTTAGCAGTTCTTAGATGTTTATTCTTTGATATGAACATTAAATTCATTTTTTCTAGGTGCAAAATACTGGCATAAAAGACTCATTTGGATTCTGATTGGCATTGTATTAAATTTTTTAATATGTGAAGGCTTGGCATTTTTCCTAGATTTTTCAACTTCAGGAACATGGCCCTTCTCTCCTTTTACCTATCTTGTTCTATGTCCTTCAGGAAAATGATATTGTTTTCTTCACATAAATTCTGTCCTTTTCTACCTCTTCATGTATTACTTTTAATAATTTCTATTTTGCTAAAAATCATTAAATTTCTCTGGATTTTCAATTTAATACTATGTATCTGCATATAATATTATCTTATTCTTTTACTATCTTCCACAATTGTGGTTCTCTCTCTTTTTCTCATTTCTAATATTGTAATTTTTTTCTCACTTTAGTCTTTTTATCACACTTATCAAGGAGCATTGTTTTTTCTTATTTTTATTGATATATAATGCACATATTTTTAGGATACACATGGTATTTTGATATGTGTATACCATGTATAATGATTGAATCATAGTAATTGGGATATTCAGTACCTTAAATATTTATCTTTTCTTTGTGTTGGGAACATTCCAAATCTTCTCTTCTAGCAACTTTAAAATAAACAATAAATTATTGTTAACTATAATCTCCCTACTATGCCATTAAGTACTAGATCATATTCCTTCTAACTGTACTTTTGTACTCATTATCCATCCTCTCTTCATTCCTGCACCCTGACTCTTCCCTTCCCAACCTCTGGTAACCATTATTCTACTCTCTACCTCCATGAGATCTGCCTTTTTACCTCTCACATATGAATAAGATCATGTGACATTTGTCTTTATGTTCCTGGTCTATTTCACTAAATGACCTGTAGTTCCATCTATGTTTGCTGCAAATGACAGAATTTTATTCTTTTTATGGCTCAATAATATTCCATTGTCCACTTTTTTATCCATTTATCCATTGATAGGCATTTAGATTGATTCTGTATCTTGGCTATTGTGAGTAGTGCTAATGCTGCAATAAGCAGGGAAGTGCAGATGTCCTTTCAATATTCTTTCTTTCTTTATTTTTTTGAGACAGAGTCTTACTCTGTTGTCCTGAGTAGAGTGCCATGGCATCAGCCTCACTCACAGCAACCTCAAACTCCTGGGCTCAAGTGATCCTGCTGCCTCAGCTTCCCAGAGTGCTAGGATTATAGGCATGAGCCATCCTGCACGGCCACCTTTTAATAGTCTTATTTCCTTTCTTTTGGATTTATATTGAGTCTTTTGGACTTATACTTATTCAGGATTCCTGAATATTATGGTAGTTCTATTTTCTACTTTTTGAGGATCCTTCATACAGTTTTCCACAGTAGCTGTACTGCTTTACATTTGGTCTTTTCAAATAACTTGCTTTTGTTTTATTTATCCTTTCTGCAGTTTAGTTCTGTTTTTTTTTCCTTAAATTAATTTTAGCCTTTATTCACTCCTTTTTTCTACTTTTAGTTTTTTTAAAAAACATTTGTTAGGTTTTTTATCCTGTTTCATTGGTTGAATATTTTATTTTGATTTTTAAAATATAATAAAATCATTTAGAGTACATTTTTCTTTGAGTAAAGTTGTGATATGATCCCATAGGTTGTGATATAAAATGTCCTTTGTATTCATTTTTAGATAATTTGTAACTTCAGTTATGATTTCCTTTTGATCCATGCTTTATTTAGAAGACTATTACTTCCAGTGCTTCAAATGAGAATTCTGAGTGATAATGCAATCTTTCTCTTTTATAATGAAGCTGTCCTTTCTGTCTTGAAGCTTATAAGATTATTTTCCTTATCTTGAATTTCAGGAATTTCACTAGTCAACATCTGGGTGTGTGTCTGTGTATCCTAATCCTGACTGGGACTTACCAAGTCTTTTCACTCTTTCAGCACTATATCTTTCATTGACTTAGCCAAGTTTTCTATTACTTCTTTATTCTTATTTCATTTGATTTTTCTTCCTTCTGTGACTTTTATTATCTGTATCTATATTTTCTGTTCTAATTCTCTTATCTTTTGACTCATTTGTTTTCCTTTGTATTTTTGCTTTTAGTTACAAAATATTTCTTCTACTTTATACCATATTTTATTTAACCATTCTCCATTTTACAGCCTCTTAAGCCCCTGTTCTCAATTTTTTTGGGGGGATATATTCAAGAAGAATATATGTTTCTCATAACAAAATCACATATTTTTCTTTTCTAGGCTTTGAAATTTCTGAAAACCAGAAGAAGCAGGCTGCAATGACTGTGAGAAAAGTCCCCAAACAAAAAGGTAAAGCTACCTTTACCCCTTCAGCCCCACTTACTCTCTGTGTGAGACCAGGGAGCCATAGGAATATTCCTAGGACTGTTTCTGTTCTGAGGATCACTTGGGGCAGTGGAGGAGTCCAGGTCTCCAGGTGTCCCTGGTGAAAGGTAAAAAATGGTCTTTGAGGCTTAAGGCTAGGAAGTGAATTGTATAGAGTAGTTGTGTCCAAAGATAACTCATTAAGTACAGAAACAAAAATAGAACTTATGTTTCTCTTTATTTTTAATTATTAAAAATAAGGAGAGGTTGGTCCAATTTCAGTGATGTTTACAACTAATTGATCACACCAGTTATAGATTCTTTTGTTCCTTCTCCACTTCCACTGTTTCACTTGACCAGCAAAAACTCCAAAATACAAAAATAAGTAAATAAATAAAAATAAGGAAAAGCTTTACTAATAATTTAGAGACAGATGGGCAATATTAAATGTGTATAATTTATTTAATAAGTATAAATATATTGGGAATATATTTCTTTCACTGTACTGGGAATACTTGCCAAATCAAGAGCCCACAAATCAGTATATACTGAACCAAGACAAAACATTCAGATATTCCCTCTCTTTCTCTGAACCATAATCCAAAGTACTTAAAAAAAGAAAAATACCTTGAGAATCAATTTAAATCATAAGTAAAGCTTTATTTTTTATTTTTTCATGAACTAGAACAGAACTGAAATGTTCAGCTTAACAAAGAGAAGGAACTACCTTCTGCTTGTTTGAGTACCTGTCTAGTATCAGTCATTTTATATAAGTTTTTTCAATTCATCTTTGTGGTAATCCCTGGAAGGTGGGCATGAAGTTGTAAAGCTATAGAACTGTGAGGAGAAAGATAAGAGGAAATCTTCAGGCTCTAGGGCTAAGCACAAAAATGTTTAGATTTGGCATCAAAAGCTCAAAGCACAAAATGAAAAATTGATAAAGTAGACCTCATCAAAATTGAAAATTTTGCTCTGTGAAAGACCCCATGAATAGGATGAAAAACAAGCTACACTTTAGGAGAAAATATCTGCAAAATATATAACTGACAAAATACTATTTTAGACTATATTAAGAGCTCTCAAAACTCAACAGTAATAATACCAAACACTCAAATTAGAAAATGAACAAAAGACACAAATAGATATTTTACTTAAGAGGATTTGTGAATGGTAATGAAGCACATAATAAAATGTTCAACATCATTAGTCACTGGAGAAATGCAAGTTAAAACCACAATGACATATCAGATACACACCTATTAGAATGGCTAAAATAAAAAATAGTAACAATACCAAATGCTAACAAGGATGTGGGAGAAACTGGATTATTCATACCTTGCTGGTGAGAATGTAAATGGTATTCATGTAAATGGTATACAATGGCCACTCTAGAAAATAGTTTGGCAGTTTATTTAAGCACTAAATGTACAACTGCCATACAACCTAGCAGTTACACTCCTGGACATTTATCCCAGAGAAATGAAAACTTATATTTTCATAAAAGCCTATAAATGAATGTTCGTAGCATCATTGTTCATAACAGCCCAAATTGGAAACAACCCAGATATCTTTTAATGGGTAGATGATTAAACAACTGTGGTATATTCATACAATGGAATATCATTCATCAATTAAAAGGAATCAATTACTAATACATGCAGCAACTGGGGTGAATTACCAGGGAATTTTGCTAAGCGAGAAGAGCCAATCCCCAAAGTTTGCATAGAATACAATTTCATCTATATAACATTCTTGAAATGATTTCATTTAGGAATGGGGATCAGATTAGTAGTTGCCAGGGACTAAAGAAGGGGTGAGGACAGGAGAGAAATAAATGTGGTTATAAAAGAGTAATGAGTGATCCTTGTGATCATGGAAATGTCCTATATCTTGACTGTAAGCTATAACCATGTCACTATCCTAATTATGATATTGTACTATATAGTTTTGCAAGTTGGTATCATTGGGAAAACTGGGTAAAAGGGTACATAGGATATCTGTGTATTATTTCTTACAACTGCATGTGAATCAATAATGATCTCGAAAAAATACTTGAAATATATTTGTGACCATTCAAAGGGAACAGCTTTAATGACACTAAGATTAAAAACTTTCTCAACTTATGTAGGTGGGTTTGCAACCATCAAAGCAAAATTTACATTCATAGAGGATTCCAGGAACCTGGGAGCCTAAAGAGAAAGTTAAATCCTGACCTATATTTATAGCAGAATAGGATGAAACATAAAGCATATAATTCAGACAAGCCAGGAAGGCCTCTATGCTGTTCTCAAATACCTTCCTCATCTGGTGATTCAGTGTCTGAAATTCCAACATTACGGCTTCTTTGTTTGCCGACTTAATCCCATTACCCGGGAAGGAGTATCATAAGTCATCATCATCCATTGGCACTTCAGCAGGAAGGATCAAGTTCTTTTTTAAGAGCTAGTTGTGAAAGGTGGTGAGTGCTAGAAATATTAGGGTACTGGTTGGCAACAGACAACATGGAACTATAAAAAAATCTAATTATATTCTTTATGTTTCATCCAATTCTGCTATAAATATAGGTCAAGATTAAACTTTCCCTTTAGGCCCCCAGGTTCCTGGAATCCTTCATGAATGTGGATTTTGCTTTGATGGTTGCAAACCTACCTACAGAAGTTGAGAAAGTTTTTAATCTTAGTGTCATTAAAACTGTTCCCTTTGAATGGTCACAAATGTATTCCAAGTCTTCCTTGCTTTCCATGAATCATGTCTTCTGGTGGTGAGTTTGCTTTCTCCCTCAACTATCAGTGTCAATTCCCTGTTAAATACAGGTTCATCACTCTCAACCCAGGGCAGGACACTAAATCACTTGTACCTTATGCTTTTAGAAAACCATTCCCTCTCACCCCCTAGATACTTGCCCTGAGGTCGGTAGTTCTTAACCAATCTCTTTTGACACTTCTGGGGGAGTTACAGAGGGAGAAAACCAACATCCTTTGGAGTTAAATGGAGTTTTTTGGGCTCTTTGCAGGTCTAAGCCCTGCATAAAGAATTATGGTCTCTTGGAAAGAGCTCTGAACTGAGAAGTCAAAGGGTATGGGTTCTAGGCCTTGTGTTCACTAACTTACCATATGACCTTGGGTGTGACATTTCTTTTCAGGTCTTAATGTCCTTATCTGTAAAATGGCTGATGGGAACACTGCAAATTACTTAGTGATACCTGACTAAATGTAGAAGTATGAGGGATTGCAGTAATATCCACACCATTCCAAAAATCTGTTAGAAAGAAGAATTCTCCCCTTGGATGATTTGCAATACCATTTCATACTCTCTAAACTAAGCTGCCTTAAACTGTCTGCCCAGAGTGATCACTGGGCGATTTGAGAAGCCCTTTGTTATATAACTTACATCCTTTCCCTTTGATCTCTCATCTACTCTAGGTGTCAACTCTGCCCGCTCAGTTCCTCCTTCCTACCCACCACCGCAGGACCCGTTAAACCAGGGCCAGTACCTGGTCCCCGATGGCATCGCTCAGTCACAGGTCTTTGAATTCACCGAACCCAAGCGCAGCCAGTCACCATTCTGGCAAAACTTCAGCAGGTTAACCCCCTTCAAAAAATAATACCTACAGGGAGGTAGATAATTTTAAAATAAAGTAAATAAAATTATATTTATAGATGGACCTTTTTTCGGAGAAGCACTGTTGAAATTTATATATATATATATATATATATATATATACACACACACACACACACACACACACACATACATACACACACAGACATATACACACACAGACCCTTGAGTACACACACATACACAGAGAGAGAGAGAGAGAGAGAGAGAGACAGACAGACAGACAGACAGACAGACAGACAGACAGACATAGACAGAGAGAGAGACCAAAAATATTTTCTGGTGTTTTTGGGAAGTGAAATCTGTAGCTGGTAGGAAGAGGTACCAATGACTTCCAAACATGTGATCCCTTCTTAAAAGTTTTCAGTTCTTACACTGTCCTCTACCCTCTTCTTTGAGGAATTGACATTTCTATTTGTTCTTTTTTCTTGTTGAGATGATCTCTTTGCTTCCCCTGTGAGTGATTCACTGACTTGTCATTATTACCGTAGATGTGTTTGTATTGATTATTTCTTTCTTGATGATACTGATGCTGATAACATTTGAATTTAATTTAATGTGGGTGGAGTTTGGGGGTTTGGGATTTCTTTTTTCCTTCTTTCACTTTTCACTGAGGAAGGGGAGGATCTCCTTTCTCCTCTCCCTCAGCCAATCATCTGCGAATGTTCCTACAGCCCTGCAGTTGCCCCAAATAGCTTTTCCCAGCACCCTCTGTCCTCAGTTGTGCCAGTCTGAATATGCTCTGTTGTGCCCTGTGACATAACTGCTAAGTATTCCTGTTGCTTTCACTGTGTTTTAGGTGTTGTGGAAGGATAAAAAAAACCAAACAGAAGCAAGGGAGTGTAAGAGTTTAATGATGCTAGAGAAGACTTCGGTTCAGGGAACATTCTGCATTTGGGCTATTTCTTCTAGCACTTGGGGTTCCCATGTTGCAGCACTGCTGAGTCACTGCGGTTTTGTATCTAGGAGTTAGTTTGGGCCAATGATTCTCTTTTTAGAGCTACTTTTGTTATGGGTCTCCTCCTAAGCCTGTCCTTCCCCTAGCCCAATAGAAGATCTGAACTGGAAGCAAAGAGGTTGAGACTCTGCCTCTGGGGAGGGATTTATCTGTCCCCCAAGTACAAAATAGGTTTAAGGCAGGGCTCCATACAGCAATCAGTTCAGTGTCCTGGTCATCCCTGCTTTCATTTGTAGGTTTTTTAGGCAGCATTGATAGGAGTCTATGGAGTGGTTCAAGACAGAGCCCACCTGAACAAGATCATCAGCTGCCTTTAAATTATTGATCTGAACAGGATACAAGGCTGAGAATAACCTCTTACAGAAAAGAACAGGGATGGACATGGAAAGAGATAGCTTTGATCCATGATATTGTCCCTGAAATTCCTACTATCCCAATTGTGTGAGACTTCCCCAATTGCTAACAGATTGCATGGACACTCTTCCCTGGACCCTTATTTCCCCTCTTCCTGTCTTCCTTCTTTCTCTTGCTATCCTGGCACAGGAAGTGTATTGGTGTTGGCATAGTTAAAACAGTTATGGCACTTGAAGAGAAGGCCCTGTTTCCAATATCCTCTCATCCCAGGACATTTGAGGCAAGTAAGGGGTTCTCTGGAAAAGGGATCTGAGGCAGAGATGCTGTCCTTAGGCTTATTTTTGGCAAGCTTTCCACTTGGACAAAACTGTGTCTTCTCACAAAGAGGCAGGCTTCCTCTGGGTGTAGGAGAATCTGTTTCTCCTCCCCATGTGGCCCCTTGCATAGATAGACCATGAACAGCAAAGAGAATGTGGTATAAGGGAGTGAAGATGGGCCCTGCTGTGAAGAACAAGCCAGTTGAGCAAGAAATATGGAGGTTGAGAGTCTGTCCTGGACCCCATGGGAGAAGACTTCATCACCAAAGGGCTTCAGCTTACCAAGCAGCAACAGTGGCTATCTGGGGACTTCAGCATAGCTGACCCAGACCAGGCACTGCCCAGCCTGGAAATCTTTTCTCTGTGGAACTCAAATTATAAACTGCTTAGGCTTCAATTCCATTTAGAGCCAAGTCAGACTTGAATAGTAAGTTAAGGATGAACCTGAGCTGGACAGAGAGCCAGGGCTCGGGACTGGCCAACACTGCTCAGCACATGACCTGGCTACTTAAGTCCCCTTGGCGAGGAACCCAGCACACAGGCTAAAATGTCCTCCCTGGCCAACAGTATGTTTCAGGAGCTGTACAGGCCTCCATTTAATGTATCTTTTCCTTAGTTTGCACTCCTTCTTACTAGGCTTGGCCTTGACATACTTCTATAAGGGTTGGCAGCACACCAGGAGGGGATGCTTAGACAAGTCCTTGGGCCTACAACATCTCTTAGCTAGGCCCTGTCATTTGTCCCCTCCCTGGGGTCTGTGTCCAGGGCTCCAGAATCAGGAATATCACCTCTCACCCTCCACTTCTCTACCCAACCCACTGGCCTCACCAGATGCCAGTAACTTGTGAAAATAACAAGAAATAAGCTCTTCATTGCTTGGAGTGTCTCCCTAGCCTATGGAAGCAAAGCAGACCAATATCCAACAGCACCAAGGGGAGCCTAGTTAATTACCTGAGCTCAGTGACTAAACCTCCTATGTCCCCACAGCAATGCTATCCCCAAGAACTCTATAATTCTCCTCTGTTTCTGCATAGCCTGGAGCTCCCCTTTCCTCAACTGAGTGAGGCCTGGATTTACTCTCCAAAAGGCTTTGCCAGTGTGTTCTATGGGCCTTGCTGTGGGGAAGTCCTAAGGCAAAAATCTAATTCTTTTTTTCTCTCTCCCTTTCTCCCCCTCTCTCTATGTGTATATCTCTAATGGATCTATAAGGACAGCAACTAGAGCGTTCTGACAATTCTAGTGTGAAGCCAAATAGTGATCTTTTAGTGCTTTGGGGCTGGGGTGGGCTGGGTGGATGGATGGGCAACAGTGACTTTATTTCCCCTGCTGCTCTGCATTTGCCAGTTTATTCTTTTGTTTCCTCTGACTGTTTGACCCTGTCAAACAAGTGTCAAAGTTGTGTGTTTAAAAAAATGTTTAACAAAAAGATGTTGTAATGACACAAAGCCTTATGAAAATATTTATGGAGTTCAATAAAAGAAGTAAAAAGACACCTCTAGGCATAACTCTCTTGCCATTTTCTGTGTGTGTGTATGTGTGTGTGTGTGTGTGTGTGTGTGTGTGTGTGTGTGTGTGTGTGTTTTGCTGATTCCAAGCTAAAGGGAATTTTCTGGGTATGGGGCTGCTTATCCCAACCCAGTGTTGACCTACCAACCCTGCTATTCTATTCCTAAGCATCTTATGGGCTGTCTGTGACCTTCCATGTGTTTTATGAAAGAGTAGACCACAAAAACCAAGTCTGATTCTGTAACCAGGAACACTTCAAGTATCTTTATGGATGGGACTGTCCTTCATGTCACCTAGTCTTTTACAGGATTGAAAGCCCCTCCCTGCCCTTTTTCCCTTTTCCTTGTAGCAGCAAATCCAGTACCTTCCCTGGGCATTCATGGGATTTTAAAAGTTGCACTTTGGACCTGACCAGAGGCCATATCACTTAGGAATCCCCCACTCCCAGTTCCATCCTAAAGCCTTTTGTTCTGTCTCTTCAAAGTCAGATACCTTCTTATCTGTTTCTCAGAGTGGGTGGAGTAACCTTATCTTTTCTTCCATGATGGTGTTACATACTGTTGATGCTTCCTGCTTCCAAGTACACCTCCATGTGGTGTCTTATGCTGCCTGTGAGGGACCCAGTAGTGGGTCCTTCTATCATGTCTCCCATGCCTTTCTCCAGAGCAACTAAACACTGACCCCAACAGAGTGTTTATTTACTAAAAGGGTCCAGAGAATTGTTCCAAGCTGCATAGTTGGGAGTGGGGAGCAGGTGTTGAACTTCTGTGTTAGGGTGTAAGCCTGAGCCCTGTCTGTCTGGGGCCTTGGGGATGCTCCCCCAAACAAGAATTTGAAGAAAGTGATAACTGAACCCTTCTCTCCTTAAGTGACTTTTCCCTTTTGTTCATTTCTTGGTGCTCCTCATTTAACCCCTTCCTATGCTATCGCCACCATTTCCTTTCCCTGTGGTCTGCCATCTCTCTCAAAATCAGCAGGGCTTAGCTCTTAGCTGTCCATTCTGATACCAATTGCAAGTCCAGGGGTACCTGAGACCACCCTTAGGTTCAATAATTCACTAGAAGGACTCACAGAACTTACTGTTATGCTAACAGTTAATTACAGCTATTAAACACAGATTAAATCAGTCAAGGGAAAAAGCACATGGGAGAGAAAGCCTAAGAAAGTACCAAATGCAGAGGACAACTTTTGTTGTCCTCCCCCCATGAAATCAGGACAATTTTACTTTCTCAGCATTGATACGTGACAATATTCATAGAGTACTTCCAACCAGTGATACCCATCCAAACTTCTAGAGATTTTATTGGGGCCTGTCACTCCCTGTAGTTGATTTCAGTCTTCAGTCTCTTCGTGAGGCGAGCTGGTGTCAGGTAACTCAAAGCGCCCAGCTTAGAGCCCATTTGTTGGTGTGGCAAAAAACCTATCCTAAATCACATTGTTAGATTACCAGGTGAGCCAAGGACCCTGAGCAAACAAAAATACTCCTATCAGACATGACATTCCAAGGGTTTAGAGGTTACCTCCCAGAAGCAGAGGGAAAAGGTCAGACCTCTCTTTGGGCAAGGTTAAATTCTTTACTATACTTGTCAAAAAGGCAAGAGGTGGGAAGAGGAATGAGGGCATTCCAAGAAGAAGGAATAGCATGATTGAAATCCTGGAAGATTACATCAGATGGAGTAAAAAGGCTCTGAATATCACTTTTTATTCATTTGTTAATCCACAAATATTGACTTGCATGCCTATTTCCAGGCTTTGGGATATAGAGGTGAATGAATCAGATACTGCTCTTACCTACATGGTACTTATGGCATGGTAAATCTCTCTGAAGTACAAACTCCTCTACATGTATATTCTTGGGATTGGGGGAAAGGTTGGGTCTTCTAAGCAAAGGTAGCAAACCAACCACA